AGTCTTTATTTTACAGTTAAAATATGTGTTTATCAAATAAAGTCTAATGTTACAACTAATCAGGGATCCCTTTAAGTTTAGAACCAGTTTGAAGGAACGGATTATTTCAGTCCAGGGTTTAAGATTATGGAATAATCTGGAAGATGATGTTAAAATGCCAGATCAATGTGTATATTTAAGAGAATGATAAAGGTTAATTTGTTGCAGAAATATGTAACTATATAATGTACGATTTGTTGTTCAAMAAGGAGTCAAACCTTGATTGTTTTTCCTTTTCATGTTTTTTGTTTTTGAAATTTGAAGTTTATTGTTGATAAAACTTATGAGAAAAAAAGYGGCAGATATTATAAGATTTTGTCTTCTGCTACTTTTCAGTTATTTATGATTTGTATTTAATTATATGTGACCCATTGGTTTTTAGAGAAACAGGCAGATACAGGGGTTTGATTTAAACTTGTGCAAAAATTGTATTTTGACAAAATATAATGAATAAATGCCTTATCAATGTATCATCTGAATAAAATGTCTGAAATATAATCATTAAAAACTATTTTTGAAGAATTTTTTTGAGCAGCAGCAACAAAAATACTGATTTTGAGGGAGTTTTACCCTGTGAGTTAGCAATGTTTTAGTTTCTTTTATAACTGGGAAATAATATTTGAGGTGTCCTTTTTTTATTGACATCAAAAATGACTCAATACATTTACATAAAATTAGGATTCAGACCAAACAGTAATGTTTTATCATAACCAACAAGACAAATGAAGTCATATTTCTGGATAAGTTGATGATATCAGAACGATCCAGGTGTCAAAATGTAGCTTTTAAAGCAGGAATCTGAAAATATAATTAGATCATTTTGACCAAATTTGACTTGATCCTCATTTCGATATGATGGCTCACATACTGTATATTGAATTTCTGTTGTTTTTTTAAAGAAATGAATAAAGATATTAAAGTAAACCAGCGTCGGGGTGTTTATTTGTCCGAGGTTTTTCTCGGACGCTCAGTAAAGTGAGTCTCTCACCTTGACGGGGATATGTAGCTGATCTCTGTGTTTATGTGGCGGGGTGGAGCTGCAGGTGTGGGTGGGACAGGTGGTGATGCTCGAGGAGGAAGTCACAGACTGAGCGCAGATCTGAGGGAACCACAGCTTTAACATCACCTCCACCTGAAGCAGCGTGTTCAGATACTTCTCTCTGAGGGAGAAAAGAGAAAAGTTTAACCTCTTAACCTCAAGCTCCTTCTTGATGTTTTTACTCAAAATCCCATGCTGAAATGTAACTGAGTGTATCTCAGCATTTACAAACTCTACTTAAATAATCTTGGTATCAAAATAAATCAACACTTGTGAGATTTCATTATAAGTGTAAATAATAAAACAGCTGTATTTTTTTCCCTCCTGTCTGAATAATTTTTTTCCTTAAACAGTATATAACCTATTTAAAACCATAATGAATCAGGCTAAAAACTCTTGGAAACCATAAATCCACTTGTGGACATCACCTGTGCAAAGATTCATACTGCTAAAATGAACTGGAGCAAAGTTACAGAGGTTTTAGTAAAGAAATAATTCAGTGTTTTGTCATTCTGCACAGGACAGACCATGATGGTTCTGTTATGGACTAATTATCTATCTGTTTCACCTTTGATGCTGTCCAGTACTCATATATCTTATGATCATTGTCAAATCTGTTTGCCCAGACATCAGGACTTCGCAACGGACTGAACTCTCTTGTTTGATAAGAAACTCTTTGAGCTGAGAGCCCTGTGATTGGCTGGACAGTACATTAGTCGATCTGTGATTGGTTATAAGCATCAAGTCAGCGACAAGCCGACAGAGCTTCCTGATTGAGTCCTGTTTGCTTGTCGCTCAGAATTAAATCATTATTTACGACCATATACGCAGACTTTCTGTGCATTATTTCCAACATGTTTCTGCATTCTTGGTAAGTCATGCGACGACAGAAATTGGCGTTGTCGGCAGGATCAACCTGCGCGGGCAGTTCCATTAATAAATGTTAACAAATCTGAAGTTTTTACTTCCAAAAGTTATTTATTTTTTCTTACCTGCCTTAAAAGACTTGTTACTGAATGTTTGTTCTTTTGAAAAATTATCCAAACATTTATTTGTCACCATATATATTATATAAAATAATGAGAAATTGTATTTGAATTCAGTTGGATCATATTCACTCAAAATCAACTAAAAAAACTTTCTACACACTTTATAACATATTTAGTATCTGCTTTGACTTGCTTTAAGAAATATTGTATTTTTTTTTCCTTTACAGATTTGTTGTAACGTATTTACAGATTTGCACTGACCCCATTTTGTAGTTTGTTTACTTTCTGATTCAACTGCTTGTCATTTGAACTGTTTGGTGAAAGTAAAAATATTTTCTAGCTAGCTTTTAGCTTTCTACTGATACCAAACATTTGTTGAACTTACAGATTTGAAGTTAACAGAAGTTAAAAGACATAGAAAACAGGAAATGCTGGATTGCCCCCGGTACCGGGGGCATGGGGCTCAAGTGGTTAAAGAAAATGTGCCGACACCTAAAAACACATCTTTTTTATGTTTTAGACGTGTCTTCTTCCAGTTTTGTTGCACTGCTGATGAACGCTGCTACCCTACCTGCTCACAGAAACCTTCAACAAAACATGCAGCAGAAGAAAAGGCCTGAAACACAAAACTACCTGGTTGAGCTCTAATCAGTGTGTGGTGCTGCTGCGACAGCCTGGAGGACATCTTACCCACAGTCTGGCCTCTGCAGAACCCCAACAATCCTCTGGATGCGATCCATAGCCACGCTCTGCTGGAAACTACTTAAACCTGTCAATCAAAAACACAATCCTCCCGTCAGCACTCACGCTGAATGAAAACACCGACACATGCGCAGACACTCAGCGTTTCAGTAAACCCCAGAGAGCTAATGAGTGAGCTGCTGGACTGTCGCATCAATACAGGCTGCAGTGTAACAGAACCGCTCAGTGGAGGGGTCTCACAGCTTTGATTCAGCACCTACAGCTCTGCCCACAGGGTCTGTGCATGTTAGCTGGGCAGCAGTGATGTGAGGCTGCTCACCGTGGTCGAATCGGCCCTTCTTCAGCCCGTTCAGCAGCTCCAGCAGAGGCCTGACGAAACCCTGCAGCTCAGCACACTGCAGAGAGAAGAGAGGAGGAGGCTTACAGGAGACGTCTCTTTGTAACCTCTTCTTTCTCTTCATTACTCTGTGTTAGGGCTGGGGATCCATTCAGATTTCACAAATCAATTCACCATTCAGTTTGATTGGTTTTTACATTAGTTAAGGATATCAAGCAGTAACATTTAATTTGATACAGAAGACATTCTCAAAGAAACTAACTCTGCAAATAATAGAAACTAATTCTAACTTGATGCATTGGTGAAATTATAAACATTAAGGGCAAACTTGTAAATTGGAGTTTAATCTTGAAAAAAAACTATTTTTTGCAAGAGAAAATGTTGTTGATACTAGGGTTGGGCAATATTGGCAAAAAAATTAATCAAGATTAATTGTGGTATTTAGCCGATAACAATTAATATGACGATTAATCCCCTGGAGACCCATATGTGCTAGTCACATGACCAATTTAGTGGGAAAGATTTGCTCTTCGGAAAAATCAGTTCCAAATTGTGTCAAAATTACAGACTTCAGGCTATACAATAAATTTTAAATTGTGTTGACATAAATAAATTACAGAAGTTTTGTTTAAATGTTCTTCATATTTGAAGCAGAGCGGAACACCAAGCGGACTCTGCCTGGTGGCATTAATCGTATTAATCGTCAAGTGCCAAAAAGTAATCGATTAATGTTTTTCTGACGATTAATTGCACAGGATATGAAGAATAATTTTCTGGATCACTAAGAAGTGATGGAACAAGACTCCAGGAGAAGAGGTGAGATAATATAAATATACTTCTGCCCACTCTTTAGAGCAGGACATAATTACATGTCCATTTATTGTAGATATGAATGTAAACATTTAATCGACTTTATTTCATTGATTCTGACTCAACAACTTCTACGTTCAGTTTTTCATTGAATTTATTTGATATTAAAGCTTTTTTTGGTAACACTCTGTGGTAGCTGCAGGTAACTGCTGTCGCGCTTGGTTTTTGAATTTGAGGAAATTGGTACTGGAAAGTCCTTGAAAGTCCTTGAATTTCCTCCCCCCATCCCCACCCCCCACTTTCAAACACAAAGGAGTTTCTACGGTGTCTCTCAGGTGTCAAAAACCTTTGATAATTCCAACCGCAACGTCAACCAGCAGCTTCAGGGCTAGTGATGTTTCAAGTGGTAAGATTATGAGCTTTAATAAGTAAAATTATCCCAGCTACAATGACAGACAACAAATATTACATTTATAGTATTACAACTAAAACCGTTTTTGACGCCGCCACCGCAGTTTGTCCTTCATGAGCCTTCGTAGACAAGATGGCGGCTGCCTGTGTGGCGACCCGCGACCATGGAGATATAAACATCTTTTTATAAGGTAAAAATAATAAAACAAATTCTTTGTCTGCAATGATTAGACGTTTTTTATTATTTTCATTAGTGATTATCTCAATTTCGGCTAAAAGAATTGGCAAAATCCTACACACTGTGCCTTTAATGTAATTCACAGTGATGGAATGACAGCAGGTTTTGGTTCAAGCTTCATTTCCTGCTGCCGCCTCTGAGCGCAAATCTTTCCAAACAAAAGTCCTGGCCTCTGTTATCTTTAAGTTCTGCTGAGAATCAGCTGTAATGTTTTTGATTTCTTTGATTCTTTTGTTTTGCTCCAGACAACTTGTTGTCGGGAGCTAACGTTAGCGTTGAACGTCAACTGCATGTAAACCAACAGCAAGCCAGGAGTGACAACATAGAAACACCTATGGGGAAAAAAAAATTGATCTCATGACTTATGAATGGATTTTCCTAAATTTGAAGGAAAATGGATCCGTATGGATTAAAAGTATTTTTGAACGCAGCCCTTCTCTCTTTCTTCTTTACCTTCTGAGCAAACAGCACGTCTCCCTGGGATTTGGGTTTCTGGCTCGTAGGACCCGTCTCCTCCAGGCCCAGGTGTTTGCCGCCGCTCTCGGACCCGTACACTTCCTCCTCCTCCTCCGCTTTGTCCGTGAAGCCGTCCCATCGGGACCCGGGGCCCTTCGGTCCCTCATCTTCCTCGGCCTTAGCCCCGCCCAGGACACCGGAGGAAGCGTTGTCCGCCAGGAAGACATCCACCTCATCCTGCTCCGAGTCGCTGAGCAGGAAGCTGTCGCCGGAGCTCAGGGAGTCGAAGGAGGGCTGGGTGGAAGTGCTTCCTTGAGACTGCATCACTGTTGGGGGGTAGTGCAATTCAACATGGTTCACATAGACATATATTTACAGGCATGCTTCCTGCTGTGGCAACACTCCATTTTTCCTCCTCACACTCAAAATGGTGGGCATTCCAGTGCCCTAGTTTATCATGGTGCAGAGTGGGGCTTGGGGGGTGGGCAGGAGGCAAATAATGGTGGTCTACGTCTGGCTTTGGTTGAGGAGGCCAGAGAGTAAAATGTGAGGCGGGTGGGGGGGATGGGAGCTCGTAGAGTAGAAATCAGAATAGGCACACTCCTCTCTGCCACAGCCTCGGGTGCTCTCTGTAGCCCCGCCTCTCTTCTGTCTCGTGCTCGCTCTCCATCCCCCCTCTTGGATTTGACATGCACTCACACACACACATACACAGGCACACACAGACACACACAAACCACCTTCTTTTCCTCTCTGGCTGCATTTCTGCATGCCTCTCATCTCTCATCCCATCCTGTTTGCTCGTGCAAACCGGCCGGGTGTTTTCGTTTTTTCACTTTATTTTATTAACGATCACCTGCAACACCAGCAGAATCCATACCTCATTATACAACATGTGCAATATTTAAACAATGTGCAATAATGTCATTTTACTTTCTTCTACTTTAGTTTTACATTTACAACTGACTCACATTGTGCTTTTTTATTCTTGTATATCTGTAGGTATTTGCTTATATACACATGTATGTATGTATACATGTAGATGTATAGGCATATTTTAGCTCATTTTATTCTTTTCTATTTCTTTTAATGTGTATTTGCAGTGCTGTGGGAGTGGCTCTAATCTCGTTATGCACGTGTGTAAAGAAAATAAAGGCATTCTATTCTATTCTATTCTATTCTATTCTATTCTATTCTATTCTATTACTACGACTCTTCCTCTCAGGATCTCTTCGACCACTGACGTTCCCTTCTGTTTCAGTCAGTGTGTAATCTCCCTGCTGATCCCACCAACACACATTGGGGGGTGGGGGTATAAAAAAGGGGGTGAGGAGGGGTAGGAACGTGCTCAGCTGGTAAACACACACCACCAATAATAAAATAAATAAAACTCACACATTAAGAACATTTAATAAACCTTCACCCACGTGGAGGCAAGCCCCTTTTTTTAAAGATTTTACAACAAACTTCAGCACATTCATTTACATAACATAACTACCATTACTTTGAAACAAATTAGTCAAATATAAATAATTGTCCCTGTTCAGGTCCACGCCATATGGGATAAATCTTGTGCCAGCAGGAAGTGA